GACAGAGGGCCGGTGCGGGGGGCGGCCCGGCGGCGGGCCCTCAGTCTCCGGCCGCGGCCCGGTCAGCCAGGGCCGGCGGGGCGGCAGGTGAGGGCCCGCGTCCTTCGCTGTTCGTTGATCGTACCGAAATATAAGTCTAGGTTATGCTCTCGGTTGTTTTATGGTAATCGGGAGGTGGTGACAGGCTTCAGAACTGCAGTCTGTAAGGTCTGGGGAACTGTAACATAAGTAGAAGCTGTTTTCATATTTTTAAGCGATTGCCTACTGTATTTTTCAAGTTGTTGATATTTGCTGTTTGTCAGAAAATGAAATAAATCATTTGGTAAGGGTATTATTATGGCTTTCCTCTGCATTTTTGCACCTTGAGTACTGTGTCCAGTTTTGGGCCCCCTACCATAAAAAAGACATTGAGGTGCTGGAGCGGGTCCAGAGAAGGGCGACAAAGATGGTGAGGGGTCTGGAGAATAAGTCTTATGAGGAGAGGCTGAGGGAGCTGGGGTTATTCAGCCTGGAGAAGAGGAGGCTGAGGGGAGACCTTCTTGCTCTCTACAACTCCCTGAAAGGAGGGTGTAGAGAGGTGGGGGTCGGTCTCTTTTCTCAAGTCACAGGCGACAGGACAAGAGGAAATGGCCTCAAGTTGTGCCAGGGGAGGTTCAGGCTGGATATTAGGAAACATTTTTTCACTGAAAGGGTTCTCAGGCATTGGAATGGGCTGCCCAGGGAGGTGGTTGAGGCCCCATCCCTGGAGGTGTTCAAAAGACGGGTTGATGTAGTGCTGGGAGGTCTGGTTTAGTGATGATGCTCCTTGTTTGTTGTGTGGGTGTCTATTTTTGTCAGTGAGGTTGATGGTTGGACAAGATGATCTTTAAGGTCCCTTCCAACCTAGAAGATTCTGTGATTCTGAGAATTGCAGCCCAAGTGGTACCGCGTCTATTCTGCGCCTTAAAACAGCTTTGTGAGAGCTGCTGCAGTTTGCTGAACACTCACGGCAGCCCTGTCAAAGTGTGCTTTATCCAAAAGCAGCTCGCTTCTCCTGGGTGTGTGTTTTGAGGCTTCAGACTCGATCCAACCCAGCGCTCTCTCCCCGCTCACATCCCGCGTGTCGGGTGAGAAGCTGTCCCTGCTGGCACCCAACTGGAACTTAACCCGGTGTCGTGCCCTAAGCCGGGGGCTCCAAAGGGCTCAGTCTTTCACATTTTTGACAGTGATCAATTACTTATTTGAACACTGAATGCGTATGGTCCTTACAAGTTTTAATACACAAGTTCTCATGTTCCGATTTTAAACAACTTAAAACAGTTCAGCCGATTTGAGGTGTTCAGTCTTTTTTCAGCAGATAATTGGCCCTGAGTTTTCACAGGTATTTTAGGCGAGCAGAGGTGCAGATCTGCTTCCTCTTGGCCTGCTGTCCTTAATACTATTCCGCATTTCTTCTTTTGCAGCTGTGCCCTGTACTTCTCTTCCAGCAGTGAGGATGAATTTGAAAAGTGTAAGTAATGGCATATGGTAGTTTGTTTTCTGAAAGAGTATGAGAAGGCCCCATTTCTGTCTAGTTACAGTGAATATTTCTTACGCGGGGTTTTCTTTCTTTTTTCCCCCTGCTGCAGAGCACAGAGTGCCTTTTCCCCTTGCAGTGCAGTGTTGGTAACTACACGCCCCAGGGAGTGTCCTTGAATCTTGTGTCTCAACAGATGCTTTTTGTCTCACCTTGTTTTTTGCTTTGTCTGTTCCCTGTCACTCCCTTGCTTCCTTCTTAGTCTATGGAGCATCTCTGAGTCAGCAGTTACTGCCCCGAACACACGTCTAAACAACTCTGAAGTCCCTCCTACCTACCATGGCTTTTGCTGCCTGAGCCTTAACTAGTCAGAGGGATGTTTTTGGCTTTTTGTAGTGGCTCAAGGTCTTGGTAAAATGGAGTTGAATACTAAATTTTACATGGTGGCTTCTGCTGTATATAACTTCTGTTTATGTGTAGCCTGTACGTACAAAACCCAGTATCTGTAGTTTTCTTTTTGGTGATGGCCATCGTGACTATCGTTTTCTGCTAAGGTCGTTGAGTACCTTATTTATTTTTCCTATTGTAAGAATTCTAGTTAGTTTGTTCCTTAAATGGACTAATCACGGCTCTGTCACATCTCAAGTGGGTTTCAGACCGGTATAGTGATTTAAAGGTTTCTATATCTAAATTCTAAATCTTGCAAGATGTTCCTTATTACGTATTCAACATTTGATCAGCGATGGCAGGAATGAATAGTAAGGCTGGTGTAGTGATTTAAATCTTTTTCTAAATCTTGCAAGATATTCCTTATTACGTATTCAACATTCGATCAGCGATGGCAGGAATGAATAGTAAGGCAACAAGTTGTATCTGTTTATTTTGCCTTTTGCATAATCACTCTTGTGTTAGTCTAGCTGCTTTTAAAGCAGATTTTCTCTTTACTGTCGAGTTCGTGCTGGTTCAAGCTCAGTGCCATGTGAATGATCTGAGCATTGTTAAGCCACACCGCTTACACCCGTGCAAGTGAAGATGTTCTGTGTCTAGTTCCTGCCCTACCTCTGGGAGCAACAAGTTGTATCTGTTTGTTTTGCCTTTTGCATAATCACTCTTGTGTTAGCCTAGCTGCTTTTAAAGCAGATTTTCTCTTTACTGTCGAGTTCGTGCTGGTTCAAGCTCAGTGCCATGTGAATGATCTGAACATTGTTAAGCCACACCGCTGACATCCGTGCAAAAGAAGATGTTCTGTGTCTAGTTCCTGCCCTACCTCTGGGAGTTTAAATCTGATAAATATTTCAATACTGTCCCCTCAGTAGGTCGTTGTTTGCTTTCCTGTAATTTTCTAGATTTAGGTATTTGACAGTCTGCTCATTTTTCTTACTCTTCTTTTCCCCTCCTCTGTCCAGGCGGCTCTTGAGGCCGAAGCTGTGTGTCAGCTCTGGCACAGAAGGCAGCTGAGAGAGCTAGTTGGGGCTGGGAGCAGAATATTTGCACAGCTATTGCCATTCCATCGCCATAGCGACACTTGTAGGAAAGATTGAAATTAAAGTATGCGCCAAGAAACAAGAAACTAAAGAGAAGCGATTTATTAAGTAACAAGTCACACTTTTCTGTAAGCTTTCGGTTTCCTGTGACCAGCTGTCAGCTTAATTAGTCTGATGCTGCTTCATGGCCTAAGAACACTGTAGTTATCATCTAGGAAAGCTGCTGGCCATTGGTATGTCAATGAGCCCCCTTGATGTGGTGGCTTGGAAGGCAGCAGGTGCTATCTTTACTTCTTTTGTAATAGAAGGTAGTGGTGAAGACCACTGAGTGCTAAAAATGAAAATAACTTCTTGCTCCAAACACTTTTTGAGCTTCAGGGTCTTGAATTCTTTCCCTTTCCTCTCCCTGCTTGTGCTCTTCTTCAAAAAGGACAGCGCTCAGTCCCATCTGTGCTTTTTAACTTACAGTGTGCTCCCCGGGCAGCATGTGGGTGGAGCTCAGCTGGTACCAGAATCTACTGAGCAACCATAAAGGCTTTTCAAGCAAACCTATCTTCTGGTTTGGGGCTTACTGCATAGTGCAAGAGTTTGTAATCCCCTTGAAGTCATGCATGCAGCTCCATCTTGTGAGAACAAATGTTCCTTAACTGCTGTTGTGGCCCATTATGTTCTGAAGAAGGGACAGTTGTTTCCCTTCCCTCTGGCCTGATTTATGCTTTAATAAAATTTGTTCCCCTTCAACTTTCCAGAGTCTCTCATAACAAGGAAGGTGTGTGACATTTTGATGTCACATTTCTGATAACCTCTCAAGAGTCAATATGTCAAGCACATCCAGTACCACTGCCTGTACTCTGGCTTTGTGTTTAGCAGTCACCACAATGTTGCTGGAGTGATCAAAACACGTTTCTTTCTGAGAAGGAGTATTGAATTGCTGTTCTGCAGTGGGGTATTATTGGTACCATTTTGTTTGAAGATATTTTTGGAGTCACTTAGTGGAATAAGCACATGGACACCTCTTTGCAGTAGGAAAACTACTACCTGCCATTTCCAAAATGCTTGGATAAAATATTGATCAGCCCTTTGAGTTCCACCCCCAGCGATCCATGTGTACGAGGAGGCTGTACTGGATGCCACAAGATACATAACAGCACTTCTTATTTGGCTTTGTGGTGGGCAAGGACTGAATAATGAAGGGATGTTAGACAGCTGCTGGCAGCTTGGAGGAACTGAGAGTTGGAATTCTGTGTAAAGGATTCTTGTCTTTGGGGGTTTTTTTAAGCTTTTAGACTGAATTTTTACTAGTTGCAATCTTTTGTCTTAAAAAAATCCTTAGCAAAAGAAACAGAACTTTGTTCTTAATTAATCTTTTATTTTTTTCAGTTTTGGCTAAAATGAAAACTCCCAAATCTGTTTCTAGGAAGGCCGAGGCAAGGTGGGTGCTGTAATTAATAACTTTTCAATGTTTACATATTCAGTTTCTGTCTCGCATCTGCTATTTGGAATACAGAAAAATGATGAGAAGTTTTAGCAATTCCTGGGCAGATAGAGAGGTGTGTGTAGGAGTGGGTGCAGACAGAACTGTTCTGTGTTCAATCTGTGTGTTCTGATCAAATGGAAAACGTGATGTTTGGAGGAGTATGTGCTCTATTGCCCTTCTGATAAATGGACATAGTTGGTACCGTTTGCTGTGTGAACAACTGATGATGTTATATTGGGTGGCTTTTCTTGGTTTGCTTTTTCAGTCAGGCAAACTGATCTTCTATTTTCCTGCTTATGGCTAGGGTTTTTTTTCACATTATTTGCTTGTTTTGCAGTTTGAAGGACTTCATTGATGACTCGGACGACTACTTCTTGGATTTGAAAGTGAGAAAAAGCACAACAAAGAATGGCAAGTAATTGTCCAACAGCAAATACGAGGCAGGAATTCTACTGAGTGGAAAGTGCTCATTGCTGAGCTCATAGATTTCTGAGAGAGGTTGTAAAACAGAATCACAGAATCTTCTAGGTTGGAAGGGACCTTAAAGATCATCTTGTCCAACCGTCAACCTAACTGACAAAAATAGACACCCACACAACAAACAAGGAGCATCATCACTAAACCAGACCTCCCAGCACTTCATCAACCCGTCTTTTGAACACCTCCAGGGATGGGGCCTCAACCACCTCCCTGGGCAGCCCATTCCAATGCCTGAGAACCCTTTCAGGGAAAAAATTTTTCCTAATATCCAGCCTGAACCTCCCCTGGAGTAACTTGAGGCCATTTCCTCTTGTCCTGTCGCCTGTGACTTGAGAGATGCTGGTGGCCTCCTTGGCCACCTGGGCACACTGCTGGCTCCTGTTCAGCCTACAGTCGACCAACACCCCCAGGTCCTTTTCTGCCCGGCAGCTCTCCAGCCACTCTAAAACATAAGATTGCTTTGTCTCTTCCTGGAGGATAACAGAGGAGAGGGCTTTTCTGTTTCCTCTGGGGGTAGCAGGGGAAAGCATGGTCGTACTGTTGTGCCAGGCGTGTGTTTTGAAGCATTGCTGTAGGTCTGCAGAGACGTTGGACTATCTGCCAGTATTTGGGTCTGTGAAAGGAGTAGTGACTCACAGCTGATGGGGCTGAGCTGGAAATATGGGATGATGGCTGTGGAGAGGTGCTTTAGGATATGCAGCTCCTATGGCTGTACCAGCTCATTCTGTGGCCAAGACACACCGAGTAAAGAAAGCGGTTAACTGTTGTTAAACTAGATAACTTTAATTTGATCAGGTGTTGGCAATCAGGCCAGTCTTGCCTATGGGTGTTGCAGAGCCACAGAAAGGGTTCTTTAATTTGGAGCTTCTTTACCAAGGTCCTACGTGTTAATACTGGCTGCGAGAAGCTCTGGCAAGCCCTGGCTTGAGGGGTTTCAGTGCTTGTCTGAGCAGAGGATCCCTGGTTTCCCCCAAGAGATGGAAAGTGCAGTGATTTACTAACATTCAGAGCCCGAGTACAGCTGTCTTGGCGCTTCTCATTGATAGGAGCAACCAGGACTTTCCTTGAAGAAGTGAAGAGGGCTCTGGAATTCTTGACACAGTCCTAGGCCAGCGATCCAGGGATAGAATTCCAGTAGATGGCATTTGATAGCAGTGATCTCACCTGAGCCTAGAGAAGCCCTGATCAAGAAGGGCAGGATCTCTTGCACCAGGTGTGAATGTCAACCTGAAAGGTGTACACCAGCTGCGGACTGTAAAAGGCTAGCGGGGCAGTTTCTGGGGTGGAAACTGGACCAGAAACATCATTTTGAAAAACGATGTTACCAATAGATCTGACGTGATCCCTTGATGTTGATAGGTCGAATCTGAGATGTCTGAAGCCTTGTTTGTTGGGCAGTGTAAGTGCTGTGGGCTGTGGTCCAGTCAGCTAAGGCTGAGCAGTTTTTAAGTCACCCTTCACTTGGTGGTTTTATAAAACTTTAATATGAAATGTTTAGCCTCACTCTTACATACACTTATCTTTTGTTATGGGAATGAAGATGATGCCGGCACTAACTACCGATTCAGGATGATTAGGCCTTGCCTAGGCTGTGGTCCAATCGGCTAAGGCTGAGCATTTTTTAAGTCACCCTTCACTTGGTGGTTTTATAAAACTTTAATATGAAATGTTTAGCCTCACTCTTACATACACTTATCTTTTGTTATGGGAATGAAGATGATGCCGGCACTAACTACCGATTCAGGATGATTAGGCCTTGCCTGATGATATATAGATACATGGGGTTTACGCTGACTTTTTTTTTTTATACACCTTTCAATGTCTCTCCGTTGAGTATGATGGTAAATGAGCAGGATGTAGTAAAGAGAATGCAATGATATCTTTCTATTCTTTGTGTTTTCCATCTTTCAAGGGATTTTTTCCTTCGTGTTAAGACAAAGGCAGCTCTCCTAAACTAAATTACCAAAAGTTTAAGCTGTTTGTTTTGAATTGCAGCACAGAAAGATCTTCAGGAGAAGAAGTTGATGACTTCTGGAAAGAAAAACACTTGCTGCCAAGAATTGCGATATTCAGAGAGTTCAAGTGACACTGAAGATTCTGTCTTTCTACAAAATTGTGACTACAAAAATGACTACCAAGAAGGAGGAGTGAAAGACTTGAGAGAGAGTTGGAGGTGCATAAAACTTCCACCTCCACAAAATCTGAAAGACCCTATTTCCAGAGGCAGTCCGGACTCGCTTGTTAGAAGGAAAGAAAGGAGCTGTGGAAAGAGCACAGAAAATAAAGCGCCAAGTGTGGCACTGCGACCAAGTAGAGACGTAGGGTCAGACAGCTCAGATGAGGAATTTGAATCATTAATAGAACGAATAAGGAAACGAAGTGTACCCCGAAAACCAGTCTTAAGCACAAGTAAAACAGTCTACCAGCCCAGTGTCACAGGTAAGCAGTTGTTCTGAGCTACCCCTTGGCAGCAGTGGTGGTGCTCGTTGCCTCAGTCTTTTCCAGCACCTTGCAACTGGATTTGATACGATCAGAAATTGTTGAAATTGTTCCTCTGAGCATTCTGAAAAGTGATTCTTACTAGTCTTGCGGTATCAAGAGTTAAGTTTTTCACTGCTGCTTGTTTTTATCCTCCCTATGATTGTAGGCATTTTTACTTTTTAAAATTGTTCTGGAAACAAATCTAACTGGTGGGTTTGAATGATGTTAACAGATTTTTTTATTTTTTTTTAATGTATGATAGCAGTTAATGGGAAGCTTTCATTTTGGTAAGACTGACATTTTCAGCAGTTTAGATGCTGTTGATTTAGTATTTGGATTTATAATTTGCTTTATTTTCTTTAAAGTAGACTTCATATTGAGAATGTCCTAAATCAGCAGCTCCTCCTCTCCTTTGACTAACTGAGGTGAGCTCCAGCTGAAGGATTGCAAAGGGTAGAAAGGGTTATTGCTGAGTAAGAGCAGGTGGAAACAAAACTCTTTCTAGAAGAGTTAATGCAGGGTGCCTTCCTCACTAACAAGGACTAGCTCAGGGCAAGGAGACCTGTAGAAGAGGATGGCTGACAGCACAGAAATACGCCCTGGGAAAGAGCAAGTGTGTTTATTTATTGGAATATGTCAATGTGGCCTAGAAAACATTTTCTAGAAGTGAAGTGGCAGCTGCACTGGCTTCTCTGTATATGGTTGTAAGTGAAAGGAGACCAGTGGCCCAAATAGGGGAACAGTTACAGAAAAGTCAGCAGAGAGAAGGTCTGCTGAAACTGCACGCCTTGAAGTGGTCCTTGATTTCTGCTGTTGGGGGTCAGTCATTGTAACAATCTGTCTAGACTGTGGGCTGGGGAAATAGGCAGTGATGTGAGCAGAGCCTGCCTGTCAGACAAACGACGTGACGTACGGCACACGATAAAAGGTGAGAACGATGGGGTTTTGTTCAAATGGTGTCTCTGCATTACTGCTCCCCAAGTGCTGGCGATTTATTTTGAATTTGTGAAATGTCACAGAAAGGTCACAAATGCTTTTCCCTCCACTTCTCCTCCCAGCTGAATGTTTGAAAGTTTGGAGTCTGCCACTCCAGCAAATTACCTTCCCAGCAGTTGTAAAAGCCTCTGCGTTCCAGTACGCAGGGTGGGACTGGGTGTGCTGAGGTGGAACCTTTGGCTTTTCACCGTTACCTGTTACCTGGGTGCTGGCACCTGCGCTCCTGATTCTGTGACAGCCCACAATCTTGTAACTCTTTCTGTTGAACTAGAAAACATCAAGCCACCCTGTGAAGATGCCCAGCCCTCGAAAGGGGAAGGATTCAAGACACCAAGGTCAAACTCCGTTTCACTTCAAGAAACACCTTCCAGGGTAATGTCTCCTGCAAGAATTCCTCGGGATGAATCAGTCAGTTGCTCGCAATCAGCAAAGACAGAGAAAAGGTAAGTGTTTTTCCGTTCCATCTTTATTATGTTCTAGAACTATTACAGATGGACAAAGAGATGCTAAGCATTTTGCCTAAGATGACGTTCTGATTTTTCTGGTACCTAGAAACTAATCTTCTACTAATTCAGCTGTTGTTAAGGATTAAGTAGCTGGAAATCAAAGCTTTCAGTCTCAGGTATGACAGGGAGAAAATAAATTAATCTCCACTTAGAGGAATTGATGACTAATCTGACAAACATCGAATCTGCTTTCTTAATGTTAGCTCTCTGGCTATTCCTTGTCTTGGCACAGCATACTTCTAATGTGTGCTGGCCCTACAGATTCTATCTATCCAGTTGCCTGCCTCTGAAAATATATCAAAACCAATTCTATTGGGAGTTCATGCCTTTTAACAAGCTTGTCTTGATATTTTTTGACCTGTGTCCTTATAACTTACAGAATTCGTGCTTCTTTTTCTATTTGTGGATGTAGCCTAAGGTTTTCAGAAGAATTCTTTTTCATTTCTAATAGTTGCCTTGTTTTCTTCAGTCATTTTATAGCTGTGTATACCAATACAAAAACCTTTAAATGGTGTTTTCAAAGCTGATGCTTTGTCTTGGAGTTATTTATCCCAGTGGAATATCTGCTTCCCCTGAACAAATTCCGGAGGATTCCCAGAACATCTTTGGCTATGTTTCTGAAAATATACCTTTATTGTGAGTGATCATACTAGAGCTGTTCATATATTGATCAAGTTTTGGTATCACACAATCGTTTTGCTTGGAAGAGACCTTTAAGATCATTGAGTCCAACCGTTAACCCAGCACTGCCAAGGCCACCACTAACCTGTGTCCCTCAGCACCACGTCTGCCCAGCTTTTAAATCCCTCCAGGGATGGTGACTCCACCACTGCCCTGGGCAGCCTGCTCCAATGTTTGACAACCCTTTCCATGAAGAAATGTTTATTCATCCTAAACCTCCCCTGGTGCAACTTGAGGCCGTTTCCTCTTGTTTTATCACCTGTTCCTTGGGAGAAGAGCCCACCCCCTACTTTGTGTAATTGTGGCTCGCTGTGTCACAAAGAGCTGAGCCACCGTCCTTACGTACTTAGCAGTCCTCATAATCTAGTTTTGTGAATTAATGAAATAACTGCAGATAATACTGCAACAGCTCTACCACTTCGTGCCCCTGAAGGGGGAAGATGACAGAATATGTGTGTGTGCCCCAGTGGCTTCGTGAGGGCTGGCTGGGGAAGAGTCAGGACAGGTTTATGCCAGTGGCAGGGTCCCAGAGATCTTTATAGCCACTAAAGTGGCCGTTGTTTCTCAGTGTGATATCTCTGTACTTCAATAAACTCCTTTATGGCTTTTCTTGCAGGCTCAGGGTGTGCTCAGTGCCTGGCTGCTTCTTGCAAGATCTCTCCAATCCGGCTTCCCACTATGTGAAGTATTTCAAGAAAAATAAAGAGGAGCTGGCAGAGAAGCTCTACTGTCTGTATAACAGTACCATCTTCGAGCAGAAGGTTAGCTTCAAAACAAAAACTGCAGTTCTAAAATGCTGGTTAATACGTTGCTCCTCCCTTTTTTGATGTGATTGCTCTTCACCCTCTTCAGTTAGTAGAAGTTAAGCTTGATAGCAATAGCTTGTGTTTGAATCAGTTCAAGAAATCTCTTTGAAAGGGGTTTATCACCACTGTGACACAGCGGTTTTCAGCTTGGCTCCCTTTTCCATCCTTAAATGAGCAGTCTGGGTGGTGGCCAAGAGTCCTTGATGAGAGAAACTGCTACACCAGGGGCCTTGATCATCTCATCTTTGAAGAGGTGACTGATATTTATAATCCTGTATTTTCTGCATGGTCATCAGCTTAGCAGCTCAGGAATGTTTCTGTTGCTGCCTCGGTGGTAGTAGACCCCAGGAGAGGCAGCTATGGCTTTCTGCTGCTGAAAGAAGCTCAAGGTTCCACCATTGCTCATCTGGCTTTTACTGACGTGACACGCACTGGTGAGCTCTGCATCGTTACCACAGCCCAACAGCTCGTTGTAGCACAAACTTTCTTGCCTGCAGCTGCCAAAAGGCAAGTGGTGGGAGCAGGGACCTGATGGATGAAACACTTCCCTTTGTCGTCAGTTGCCTCATGCTTAGTCATGCTTCAGGCAGTCTTCATTCATTCCCCTTGCATGTTCATGATTTAAATCAACAGATTTAAAAGCTGCTTATCCCTTGAATGACAATTTTGGGTGAACTTAAAGCTCTAAGTTGTGTTTTGAATTGAAGGTTTGATTTCAGAGAACTGCTGTCTTGATCTTCACATCTTCTGGGGTACTGGAGACCCCCCTCTGGTAAGAAATGCCTCTGAAAGGATGGACGCTGCCCACAGTAATTCCAATAGAATTCCCTTCAGGAAGGAAAATGTTTCTGTGCAGCTGGGAAAATGTTGTTGGGCTGGCCAAGGAGAGGTTGAGGTCATGATTTCACCAACAGCTGAGCTGAACAGGCTCACTATTGCTGAAAGCAAAATACCTTGCTCTCCAGTGCTAAATCCCCGTACCACTGCTGGCACCTGCTGCTGTTGGACCATTTACTCAAGCTCGTTAACTAATTTAGATGTCAGAAAACTGTTAGTAAAGCAACAGAACTAACCAAGATAGGTATGATGAGGGCTTACAAAATCAGGATCACGAGGATTCGGCCTCTCGCGGTGCGAAGGTGCATCAAATGAAAATGGCAAGTTGTAGGTTCAGAACAACCAAAGCAGGTGGTACTTGACCCGTCAATTATTAATCTACAGAACTTGTGCTCATAGACTGTTGTGGATGCTAACAATGCCTATGTATTCTTAAACATGCACACTTGTTCCAAAACACCAGAAAACAACTTGAAGGGCTGTTGAATGCAAAGGAACCACCTGGGGCTCAGTGAGGTGGCGTCTTGCAAATGACTAGCAGTTGGGAATAGTACTTTTTTGAACAGGAAATTCTGTTTTATGCCTGACCTGTCCCTGCGTTTCGTCTTAAGCAGCGCGTGTTAGGCACTGGTGGAAGCAGAACAGAGGAACTAAGGGACTTTTTGTCTCATCCTGCGTTGTGAAACTCCCAGTGTTGGTTACAGAAAAACTGATGATGGGAATAAGGAGCCGTGGAGGGTGGGTTTGCATCTGAAGTGACACCAGTGTTAAGGGCACTGGCAGAAACATCCTGCGCTGGCTTTGCAGTAAATCTAAAGGGAAGCCAGAGGGCCAGAAGAAGATGAGAGAGGTAGGAGAGGGCAGATGACATGTCCTGTTTTGTTTTTCAGTTACCAGAGAAAATGAAAATAACATGGAATAAGAAAATGAGAAAAACAGCAGGATATTGTGTAACTGGGCAGACAGAAGGTCCTGAAGGAAAGCGTTACGCTCGCATAGAACTTTCTGAGAAAGTCTGTGACTCTGCAGGTAGGTAAAAGAAAAGAGATGTTGACTCTTCTTTGAGAAAGTGAGTTCTAGAGATAAAAAACATGAATCTGAGGCCTGAGAAGATCTGGAACTGGACCCTGCTTTGAAATTTCGTATTACCTTGAATAAATAAATACATTGGTGGTCATACTTGTCCTCACAACCCTTCTAAGAGGCTGGGCAAATTTACAAGATGTGAAAACAGACACATGTTCATGCTAATAGCAGTACTTTGATTATATTTCTTATTGATCTGAAGAACTATTGATTACTCTAATTATATATGTACTGTTAATGGCAATCTAAAATCTGACTTCTTCCATCACAGCTAGCCACCTTGTTGGTAGCATTTAAAGCTGGAATGAAGACAGGTCAGTGCCAAGTTAAGTTCTATTATATGGTGGGCACTGAAGCTGTTATTTCTCTCTCATCCCATCCCAACTGGGGGAAACGAATGTTGCAGTTACCATAGGAGATCCAGTTCTGTAATAGAATATTTGGAAGTTTAATAAATTTGATTTGAGAGGTACAATGGACTACCCTGGGAATATGCTTTAGGAGGCTTAGGGGTCCACAAGAGCTGGTCAGTTTTTTAAGAAGAACCTTTTAGAAGCACAAAAGCAGGCAATCCACCTGTGTCCTAAGCCAGCTAAGTGGGGCAGAAGATCAGCTTGGCTGAAGAGGGAAAAAAAATTGTATCATCTCTAGAAGCAAGGTCAGGCTTTGCAGGAAGATTTCAGAGCCCTAGAAGGTCAGGCTTTGCAGGAAGATTTCAGAGCTGTAGTTTGTGTATGCAGGGAGAATACACAAAACACCAAAGCTCAAGGTGAGTTAAAACTTGCCAGTGTTGTGTCAGCTAACAAGAAGGGCTTTTAAGTATGTTAAATAGCAAGAGGAGGTCTAAAGAAAACATTGGGCTGGTGCTTGTTGAAGATGGTCATCTGGTTAATAGGGATGAAGTAAAAAATGGAGGCATTCCATGGGGTTTTTTGCCTCAGTCTTTAATAATACTGGCAGACCTTGGGCTGCCTGGTCCTGTGAGCTGGAGGTCCACGAGTGTGGGAACAGTGACTTTCTGTTTGTGGCCACTGAAATTGTCAGGGACCAGCTGTATCAGCTGAATCTTCACAAGTCCACGGGGCCTATGGGATTCACCCCAGAGTTCTGAAGGAGCTAATGGGAAGAAAACATTGGACTGGTGCTTGTTGAAGATGGTCATCTGGTTAATAGGGATGAAGTAAAAAATGGAGGCATTCCATGGGGTTTTTTGCCTCAGTCTTTAATAATACTGGCAGACCTTGGGCTGCCTGGTCCTGTGAGCTGGAGGTCCATGAGTGTGGGAACAGTGACTTCCCGTTTGTGGCCACTGAAATTGTGAGGGACCAGCTGTATCAGCTGAATCTTCACAAGTCCACGGGGCCTATGGGATTCACCCCAGAGTTCTGAAGGAGCTAATGGATGTTATGGCAGGACCCATCTCGATCATTTGCCAAAGGTCTTGGGCCTCCCTTGGGGAGGTCCCTGCTGACTGGAAGATAGCCAATATTGTTCCAATTTACAAGAAGGGCGTGAGGGGAAGACCCAGGATACTACAGAGTCTAACCTCACTTCCTGGAAAAATTACAGAGAAGATCCTACTGAGTACACGAGTGTGGGAACAGTGACTTTCTGTTTGTGGCCACTGAAATTGTCAGGGACCAGCTGTATCAGCTGAATCTTCACAAGTCCACGGGGCCTATGGGATTCACCCCAGAGTTCTGAAGGAGCTAATGGATGTTATGGCAGGACCCATCTCGATCATTTGCCAAAGGTCTTGGGCCTCCCTTGGGGAGGTCCCTGCTGACTGGAAGATAGCCAATATTGTTCCAATTTACAAGAAGGGCGTGAGGGGAAGACCCAGGATACTACAGAGTCTAACCTCACTTCCTGGAAAAATTACAGAGAAGATCCTACTGAGTAGTACTGAAAGGCATTTAAAGAATAATGTGATTGTCAGGCACAGCCAACATGGGTCCACAAAGGGAAAGTTCTGTTTAATTAACTTGATATCCTTGTATGATAATGTCACACACCTAGTGGATGGAGTTTTTCTGGGTTTTAGTAAGGCTTTTGGTCCTGTCCCACACAGCATCCTTCTGGACAAGTTGTCCAACTATGGGATGAACAGGTTCCTGATGTGCTGGGTGGAGAACTGGCTGAAGGGCAGAGCTCAAAGTGTTGCAGTGAATTGAGGTACATCTGGCTGGTGACCCCTTACCAGTGGTTGTTCCTCAGGGGTCAATTCTAGGGCTCTTTCTGTTCAATATATTTATCAACAATCTGGATGCAGAAGCTGAATGCACCACGAAAGGGCGACAAAGCTGGTGAGGGGTCTGGAGAATAAGTCTTATGAGGAGAGGCTGAGGGAACTGGGGTTATTCAGCCTGGAGAAGAGGAGGCTGAGGGGAGACCTTATTGCTCTCTACAACTCCCTGAAAGGAGGGTGTAGAGAGGTGGGGGTCGGTCTCTTTTCTCAAGTCACAGGCGACAGGACGAGAGGAAATGGTCTCAAGTTACTCCAGGGTAGGTTTAGGCTGGATATTAGGGAAAATTTTTTCCCTGAAAGGGTTCTCAGGCATTGGAATGGGCTGCCCAGGGAGGTGGTTGAGGCACCATCCCTGGAGGTGTTCAAAAGCCGGGTTGATGTAGTGCTGGGAGGTATGGTTTAGTGATGATGCTCCTTGTTTGTTGTGTGGGTGTCTATTTTTGTCAGTTAGGTTGACGGTTGGACAAGATGATCTTTAAGGTCCCTTCCAACCTAGAAGATTCTGTGATTCTATGAATGAGTTAGCTGATGATACCAAACTAGGAGGTGCTGCTGACTCTGCGTTGCAGGGGGATCTAGATAGATTGGAGCATTGGGCAATGATTAATGGGATGAAATTTAACAAGTCCAAATGCCCGATTCTGCATCTGGGGTGGAGTAATGCTGGGCACAAGTATTGACTAGGAGAGGAGTGGCTGGAGAGCAGCCCTGCAGAGAAGGTCTTGGGGGTGCTGGTGGGCAGCAGGCTCAACAGGAGTCAGCAGCGTGTCCTGGCAGCGAGAGGGCAAACCACATCCTGGGGTGCATCAATCACCAGCTGGTCGAAAAAGGTGATTTATCCCACTGTATTCAGGTTTGGTGCAGCCTCACCTGGAGCACTGTGTGCACTTGTGGGCCCCACGATGTAAGAAGGATGTGAAGGTACTTGAATGTGTCCAAAGGAGGGCAACAAAGCTGGTGACAGGGCTGAAAGGAATGTCCTGTGAGGAGTGGCTGAGGACTCTGGGTTTGTCTAGTTTGGAGAGAAGGAGGCTGAGGGGCAACCTCGTGGCTCTCTGCAGCTCCCTGAGGAGGGAGGTGGAGAGGAAGGTGCTCTTCTCCCTGGGATCCAGTGGCAGGACACATGGGAATGGCTCAAAGCTGCGCCAGGAGAGGTTTAGATGGGGCATTAGGAAGCATTTCATTACTGAGAGGGTGGTGAAACACTGGAACAGGCTTCCTCGAGAGGTGGTCGATGCCCCAAGCCTGTCAGAGTTTGAGGTGTTTGAGCAATGCCTTTAATAACATGCTTTAACTTGTGGTCAGGCTGTTGGACTAGATGATCCTTGTAGGTCCCTTCCAACTGAAATACTGTATTTTAATTGTACTGAACATTCAGTGTTCTGCTCTAGTTGTTTCTGGATGAAAAATATCAATGTTACAAAAATGAATCTTAGTCTAAATAAAGGTGTTTCAGGTCTCATAAAAAGACAAAACAAAACATCCCTTACTCCCTACCCCACCCCCCAAAAAAACCCCAAACCAACCAAACAAACAAAAGCACCCCAGGCAGTTTAGGCACACAGGGAAGTAACTAGGAGGCAGAATTAGGACTAATCAGAAAACTGGAAAAGCACTGAGTAAAACCTTGTTTTGGGGCATTTTATCTTTTTCAAATCTTTTGTAATTCCAACCTCCAAAATAAACCCTTGCATCATAATAGAGAATAAGCGTTAAAGGTGGGAAGTGGTGACCAAGGGATGAAAGTCTGCACTTCCCCACAGCTGCCTGATCTCAATGGCTTTTGTTTTCCTTACCCCGAGATCGCCTTCGCGACACGCTGATTCACGAGGCTTGCCATGCTGCCACCTGGCTGATCAACGGTGTTCGAGATGGACACGGACGGTTCTGGAGGTTCTATGCCAGTAAATCCACTGTGATTCACCCCGAACTGCCCGTCGTAACACGGTGCCACAGCTACGAGATTAATTACAAATTCATCTATGAATGCGTTCGCTGCAAAGCTACGTGAGTAACGCTTGGATCTTGCATATGACTGTGTATTAATTTTCTCTCAATGGATTGCTCAATGGATTCAAATCCAGCTGGCGGCCGGTCACTAGTGGTGTGCCTCAGGGCTCAGTGCTAGGACCATTTCTATTTAACGTCTTTATTGATGATCTCGATAAGGACATAGGGTGTATCATCAGCAAGTTTGCAGATGATACCAAGTTAAGCAGGAGTGTTGACTCCCAGGAGGATAGGGAAGCCCTACAGAGGGACCTAGATAGATTGGATCACTGGGCCAAGATCAACGGCATGAGTTTCAACAAGGGCAAGTGCCAGGTCCTGCACTTGGGCCACAATAACCCCCTGCATCCCTACAGGCTGGGGGAAGTGTGGCTGGAGCTGCCTGGAGGAAAGAGACCTGGGGGTTCTCATTGACAAGCGGCTGAATATGAGCCGGCCGTG